GTTAGTATTGTCTTTCATTCTTCCGCTTTGCACACATCTAAATGAATTAATGTTGTGAAATATACGTATCATAAATCATAGTGTACCAAGCAATCATTCTATAATTGTATTTGAACCAAAATTCAATATACTATAAATCAAAGAACAGATTTGCTTTTATCAGCATAAAATTTTTCTACATTAATCAATGTCAAGAAGATTTTATAAAAACTAAATAATAAAAGAATAGTATACTTATGTTGTTGAAATGAAGATACATTCTGTACAAATTTTTATTACTAAAAAAAACAATCCGTGACTCTTAGTGACGATTCAAGGAAAACCAACTTCAGTTATGAAGTCTAATGTGATTCAAAACTTTTCATCATGTGTCTCTATAAATATTCAATTATTAACTGATAATAATAATAATTGAAACTACAATAATAACTAACATTATATATTTACTTTTACCTGCAAAGATCACCGTGACTGGAAGTTGGTCACGAACTATCATAAACATTATAACAATCACGCATTGTCTGCTTCTTTTTTATTATATTAGATCTCTCACAAAATAAATAATCTCATTTTTTTCTGAATCAAAATAATTATAAATAATCATCAAAACACTTTGAAAATGGGAATAAAGTGTTCCATTATTAATTTCATGAGATTGATTTTGCTAGGAGTTTACCAGCAAAAATCTCGAAGACTCTGTATGCATAAATCATTGGAACTATGTTGTGATCGTTGTGTTAAATTTTCCATCTAACTAACAGAATTTTGACATAGACTAAAAGATCGATCAAAAATTCAGTAAAACGATCATAGCTTGATTATAAACCGTATTAGATTTCTATTAGTCTAACCAAGACACCTTTGCAGGTCTAATAGAGTTCGTTGGGTTCAAAATCTACCCGACGAAGTCTAAGGTCACACATGAGTTTTAATGACGGATAACAGTTCGAGTGATTCCTTCGATAGTAAATATTTAATATCTACTTTTTACTCTAGTACAAATTCACTCGTCAATTCTAAAAATACAAAAATATATACTTTGCTTTCGTCAAGAATATACACATTGATAAACTGAGATTGTAATAATTAGCAAGAATTTTATGACTTAGAATGATGATGACAAACTTTAGTCATGACTAAAAATCTTGGTCATATCAGTGCATATGTATGATGTCAACATATGACACACGTTATCTTATCGATCGAGTTTACGTTAGAAAAATATTGTGCAGAGACTCATAGCAAATTAAATTTTTTTCAAGAATTATTTCCTAAGTTTCATCGTTTCATTAAAAGAAACCATCAGTAACCAAGATAAAATTTGCGATTAACTTCGCTGTTTTTTGTTATTGCGTATTTCAGATAAAGTGAAAACGAATAAATCATTATGCAACAACACCTATGATATCATATCATCGAATAAATCTCATAGCAACCTGTCGGTAGAGAAAGATAAATAATTTCTATCAAATATTTGTTAGCATCAGTTATGTTTCAAGTATATTTTTCTGTCTATCTTCTTTTTTCTTTTTCTCTTCCATGTATTTTATCGACTTCAGCTTCGTGACTCTTGTTCATTCTACGTCTTCCTTTCTGATGTTTTTTCTTTTTTATTGCTATAAAAAGAAGAACGCAAAATAGGAAAGAATAACAAATAAGAGGAGAGAAAATCTCAGGCACATAGTAGAGAAAAAAAAAAGAAGAAAGATCAAACACACAACCCAACAAATTTTACGCACAAGGTCAAGTCGAAATGTCGGTTAGTATACAATTGAAAATTTTTATTAAACAAAAGATAAAAATATGTTTTTCTTCAGCGAACACAGACAAAATTATCAAATCGTCAAATACAAGGTAATAGAAAAAATAAAATCAATCTTAATTGTTTTTCATCATTCATTGAAAAATTAGAGTTACGTGATGCATTCAATCTTTTTGATCGAGATGGAAGTGGAACTATATCATCATCGGAAATTAAACAAATATTAATTGCTTTAAATTTTAAACCAACAGAGAGTTTACTTCGAAAAGTAATGCAAGAAATGGATACTGATGGTATGTCATTTTTCATATGAGAAAAATACAAAAATTGTGAACATAATATTTTTTTAGGTAATGGAAGTAGTAAGTTTTCGCTTTTTTCAGATTTTATTTTTTTTTAATAGTACAAGAAATTTTTATTTTCTACGTAGTCGAATTTGAGGAATTTGTTAAAGTAATGGGAAGTGTTTATGAACGAAAATTTACAGAAGATGAAATGCGTCGAGCATTTAAATGTTTTGATACAGATGATTCTGGTAACAGAAGAAAACAAGAAACTTTTTTATTGAAAATGTTTATTTGTATATATATTAGGTTATATTACAGTTGATGAATTACGTGAAGTTTTACATCAATTAAATCAAAATATAAGTGAACAACGAATTATTGATGCTTTAAATCAAATTGATATTGATCATGATGGAAAAATTAGTTTTGAAGAATTTGTACAACTATTTGATGAAGTATAATAAACAATTAACCAAAAAAAAAAATTTTTTTTGTACTTACATATTTTCCTTTTGTTTCTTTGTTGTATTTATCAATCAACGTTAATCATAAAACTGAAATAAATGTTTAAAAGATATTAAAAATTATTTGACAAGAGTTAGAATTTAAAGAGTGTGACTGTGAGTTTGTATGTAACACCCACACCTGGTAAAATTTCACCTTGAAATTTTGTCTTTTTTTTTTTAATTTTTCTGTATCTATCTAAAGTTCGATCGAAAACTCAGTAGGGCAATCCTAACTTGGTTCTAAAGACTGATGCGGATGAAGTCTTTTAGACTTCTGCTAGTCTCATCTAAGCGTCCTTGAAAGCCAAACATGAGCTCAAACACTGAATATCAGTTTTGATAGTTCCCTTGTGACAAGATCTTATTTAATGCATAATACAATTTGTAAATGCTTGTTTTCTGTCAACATGCGCAGTTCAAATCAAAACAAACAAATTTAATAACACAGAATCTGGCAGATGACATTCATATAAATGATCTTAGTATAATAAAGTTTATGATACGAATTATGTTAAAATTTACACAAGTTATATCCTGTTCTTATATCTTTCAAAGTATGTAATGACGTTATCTATCAAAAATGTACATGGCGGCACCACTATTGTGACAGACTTTAAGCTGCCATGAACACATGTTATCTAGCTCTTTCTAGATTTTTACAGTAAAGAACTCCAAATGGATCCTTTTTTTTGCACACGTTATACAAAAATATAGTTTTGATGCTACTGGAAACTAAATATTTTTCAACGAATAATCTCAGTCTGTGAAAATCTAAATCTATCAGAACTCAAACGTCAATTCAAATTGTTTAAGTTCTGGATCAATTTCATTGATTCGAGTAACCAAAGTTTCTTTTAATCAGGAGTAGAAGATAGGTTGTTAGAACTTCTTTCACAAGCGATGAGAGGCCATACTCGAGTTGATATTGGTATACTTATTAAAAATGTTTAATATACTTCTGGATTAATATAAATTGTTTAATACTAATGAATAAGTATCATCTGGTTTTGTTTAGTGGCAATATCGGGCGTGATAAAAATTTTGCGACATTTTCTGTTTTGCATGTATCTCTGTTTAGAAGCATGACAAAATGTTGATCTTTTTTCAAAAGATGCACCGTCGAAGTCTCTACAAAATTCCATTTATCTTAATTTAGAACAATAGAAGTGAACATTTTTATAGGTCACATAGTGTAATATTTTGAATTGAGCCTACCTTTCCATACATTATTTTCTGTTGTTGCAACGATCGTTTGAAGTTAGAAATAGACACGAAAGAGACTTTCTGTTTGTAATTTAAATGCATATCAAATGCTCTTGTAGAATTATTTGTAAATGTTTGATTACAATTTATATTTGTCTAAAAAGCATGGCCAGTCTGATCTGCTACGACTAAAATAGCCTTATTGATACTTTTCGAATTCTTCTTTCAGCTGAACTCTTTTCACATGCGTTACTAGGGCTTCCCATAGAAAATGAAATCAATTTTCTACAAAATAGAAACGATCTGGTTACAAATGACATTTCTAAAAAATGTTCACTTCTATTATTCTAAATTAAGATAAATGAAAGCTTGTAGAGAATTTGACGGCGTAACTTTTAAAAAATGATCAACATTTTGTCATGTTCCTAAACAGAGATATATGCAAAACCAAAACTGTCACAAAACTTTTATCACACCCAGTAAATGATATCACAAGGTTACAGACGATTATTTATCGCAATACTACAAAATTAAAAGCGAAGAAAATAAAAGAATTACGTAGCATAGAAAAGGCTGTGTTATATGAAAATTAAAGTAAGAATTTTAAATAATCAATCAAAACTCGTTTTATTTTCACTGACCACATGACACTCTTACAAATGGATTACAGTTCAATTAATTATTTTTTCCTTTGAACTTTGACTGCGCTCGACTACATTTTTGAAAAAAAATAGTTTTGATTCAGTGACAAATCTAGGTTGTAATGATGGAAGCGATCATGATCATAAAACGTGTTTTGAATCTCATTAGAGATAGCATCAACTCATTTTAAAGACTTTTCTGATCGGAAAAATCTTTTGAAAGGGAGGAATAATCTCCCTCTCCTTAATCTGCCACTGTTTGGGTCGGTTCGTTTTCGATCTCTCATAAAGATTACTCTTTCTATACATAGAAACCAATTTTTTCGTTGAGGTCGAGAACTTATAGGACACCTTTGGCATAAAGAGGACATCTATCGATGATCATCCTTACTGGTTTTCGAAATAATAAATCATGGATTTAACCATTCCAAAAGTGTGTCAGATACAATAACAGCTCATCAACTCCATGCTTACGTGTCAATTTGATTTATTTAGGAATGTATTCTAAATTGTTAACTTCTACAACTTCAATAGGATATTCATACGCAAAATAATTTCATAGCATAACCATATATATATATATATATCTTTCAAATAAACAATGCCAATACAATTGTCAGATTTTCAGAGTAAGAAAAAATAAGCGAAATAAAATTCATTTATGTTTATAAAATAATTTCTATCTTAATAGAGATCGGTCTCGGTCTGTCAATATTTGGTGTTGGTTTTATTTTTCTTGGTATGATCTTTTTATTTGATAAAGGATTACTTGCAGTTGGGAATGTAAGATATAACAATTGATATTATTTTGTCATAGTATTTATTTTATTAGATTTTATTCCTTGCTGGCTTAAGTATGATTATTGGATTTGAACGTACATTTCGTTTTTTCTTTCAACGTACAAAAATAAAGGCTACTTTTCTTTTTTTTGGTGGTATTGCAATTGTTTTATTTGGTTGGCCATTGATTGGAATGATTTTTGAATTATATGGATTTTTTCTTCTATTTGGGTTAGCTTAGTATCTTTTTTTTTTTTTGATTCGATTAATTTAAATGAAATTTTTCTTTGTCTAGTGGTTTCATTCCAATTGCGATTAATTTTCTTCGACGTTTGCCAATTATTGGTTCAATTTTATTGTTACCTGGCATTCGACAAGTTAGTATTAAACGTTTTTTTTTGTTTTGTTATATACAAAATAAAAATATTATTTTGTTTCTTCTAGGTTGTCGATAGGTTATGTGAAAGTCGATCGATGGTATAATGATGATTTTCTTCTCTTTTTGTTTTTGTTAGTTCCAATGTATTTGAACAATCGTTTTGTTTTTCATTTTTCAACATTCACTTTCTGTATGTGTTTGGAATTGTTAAGAAAAAAAAAAAAACAAACAAAGACAAACTTGAAAAATCAACAACATATATGTTCTTTTATTAGGAAGTATTCGAGCTGAATCATTTTTCTTTTGTTTTTAGATGATTTTTTGAAAATAGTTGTTATATTATTCATGAATATTAGAGTAGGAACATAATGCTTGTTCAATATGGTTTACAATCGTTATTAAGAAAAAGTAAGATGAATTTAAATTGATAAAAAAATTAATATTTAGTCATATTGAGTTGATTAATTTAAATGAAGATAAATTCTAAAAGATTATTGATTAATAAATTCGAATCTTTGAGATAATGATTTTGGTACAATCGAATATTAATACGTATGTAAAATATGAAATATAATGAAGACTTGCTTCATTTTTTTCTTTTAATCGAGCACCGTGCTAACCTTCTTTACAAAAATAACATTAACTTTATGTATACACTTTTGAATTCTCTACTATGTCATATATAACAAAACTTTCATGAAATTCTTGCAGGTTTCATGTGTTTTAATGAGACTAATTTCTGACAAGTGACAAATGAAGATAATAATTATATTATCTATAATGAGCATATAAATACTTGGACTTCTGTTAGAAAATAACTAGATTATGATATACACTGATCTTCATAGTAGATGATTCAAGCAACTGAGCGAGAGAACTCTGATTCAGTTTAGTATGACAACATGTTCTAATAAAATTGATTTCTTCTTATCCTGTTTTCAATATTATTTACAATAAAATTTATTTTTATTTTTCTTTATAATTATCTACAGCACATCTATCATTAAAAAGTACATGTATAATATTCACATATAATGTTCAGCACAATATTCTTCGTACTTTTTCATCGAGGTGCGAAAACTTGTTAATATTACTAAAATGTATTTCGGTTTGTTTGTTGTTTTTTTGTTTGTAGTTCATTCTATCGTTATCGATATGATTTACTATTTCGACAAAATGTCAATAGTTCATCAAAACGAACACACTCTACTTCAACACCACCACCATCAAATAATAATAGTAATCAATCAGTTCCATTAGATAAAAATGCATCTACAATAACAACAGTATTAAAAGGTTTAAATTCGAATATAATACTCATATAAAAATCATCTGTTCATTTCTAGTTCGTCCATGTAATACAAATGTGCATGATGTTCCTGAAAGTTATACAGATAATAAACTTATTACAGCTGTACGAGCTATGCATGAATATTTATTAAGTCCATCGTGAGTTGATTTAAAACTATAAGAAATATATAAATGTATATATATTTTATGTAGAGCTTTAGAAACACTTCAACAATATAAAACACGTTCACCTTATACAGATGTTGCTGATATCTCACGTATGCTTACAGTTTATCGACGAGGTGATGTCGAAAAACGGTATGACTAAATAAATAAATTTAAAAAATTCATTTTTATTTTTATTTACAAGAGCTTATGAAGTGTGGGGTAGTCCAGAAAATTTAAAGAAAGAAAAAATTAAACGAGCTAAAGCTTTACAAAATGAAGATGAAGGTATGTATTTAAAAAAAATAACAATAATTAAAGCATACCAAAAGTAGTGACGAAGGTACTTCTATACCATAC